GAGTCCTGTCCATAGACTGCCGCACACCCAGCTTCCCTGTCCTTCACTGTCTCCTAGAGTTTGCCCAAGCTCATGTCCATTGACTCGGTGATGCCATCCAACCATCTCATCCTCTGACACCCTCTTCTCCTTCTACCTTCAATCTTTCCTAGCATCAGGCTCTTTTCCAATGAGTCAGCTGTTCGCATCAGATGGTAAAAGTATTGGAGCTTCAATTCAATGAACTGAACTGTATAAAAGGCAAAAAGATGAGATGGATTGCAGGTATTCAAAATGCAGATTGTCCTGGGGCACCTGTTCTCTCTGGGTGAGCCCTGTAAGGAAGGTGTGGAGGAGTCCGCCTCCAGGCAGGGGTGTGCTCTGCTCTAGCCTTAAAGAAGAGGAGAGAGCAGAGTGGTGGGGTGGCAGCTGCCCTTGGGAGCTGAGAGGCTCAGTTCTACAGAGAAAGGAAACGCCCTCTCCCCAGGCCAACACTTTGACTGCAGCCTGTGTGACCCTGAAGGAAAGATTCAGACTCCTGAAACTGAGATAATAAATGTCCCCAGTTCTGGTTTTAGGTAGATGACTTTGTGATAATTAGTGATGCATAAATAGATACGGAATTCAGAGAGTACCCTCTACCTGCATCACCTTGCTGTCCTTATGGATGAGCCTAGAATAAGAAACCTATCTCAAAGGGCGTTTTCAGAATCAAATACGTACTAAACTAACAGAAGTTCTATCCCGACCTACCACCCCAAACTTTCTCCTTATTTTAGCAAACTACAACCTCAAGTAACCAGGAATTATCAAAGAAAGGCAAACTTTGTGATGCAAAAGGCTGAAGAAATGTGAACTATATATCATACAGACTGATGCCATCATGGTTTAACTGAAGAAAAAAATTAACAAAAGAAGCATTCCAGTTCACTGGAAGATGCAGTTTTATAGGAAACCTCCATTTTAACAATGTCTGATGCTAAATGAGTTATTTTGCCAATAACATTTAGCTGCAGTGGTGACGTTATATCTCGCAGAACAAATTTTGAGAGCAATTTTTTTTCAAAAAATCAAAATAAATCTATAAACTGTTGTCGTTGTAAACACTGTTTACATTCCATTGCTAATTTTGTCCTATTTGCAATGTTTCACACCTCTGTTCTTGCCTTTAACAGAATTCATTATGTGTCAGCCACTGTCTCTTTACATTTCCAGGTCCTGGGAACAAGATGTCGGTTTTCTTCATTCACAGAGTTTACACCTGAACAGGAATGCAGTTCGTGTCAGGAAGTTTATCTTGGCCTTTATTCACCCTGCAGTGCTTGGTGAAAATCTTCATAAAACCACGAAGACTTTCTCTAGCTTTTGTATTGGTTCTTCAGTTCCTAAATTGTGTCTGACTCTTTGTGACCCCATGGATTTTTTGCCCACCAGCCTTCTCTGTCTATGGAATTCTCCAGACAAGAACACTGGAGTGGGTAGCCATCTCATTCTCCAGATCTTCCCCACTCAGGGATCGAACCCAGGTCTCCCACATTGCGGGCAGACTCTTTGCCGCCTGACCCACCAGGGACCCACTTTGAATGGCCAGTAAATCCCTCAGGAGGGAGGAAGAGCCATGTTTTCAAATTACTGGCTAACGTTTCTTGTTTCCATAGGTGCCTGTGTATATTGACTTTGTTTATTCGATAAATAATTATCAACTCCGTCACGCATGTTAGATACTGCCTTGCATGTGTACTGCACTTTGTGATCTACAGGATGATGTCAAGATACTTTCTTATAGATTTTTTCAACAGATCTGTAAGGAAAGAGGACAAGAGATTTTGCTATTTCTCCACTTCCTGGATGATATCTGAATCAGCCTAACACAATTTTCTCCTTCTAGCGGGAAGCGTCATTGCAGCTCCTATGAAGCAGATTTCTCTCACAGTGCATCAATTTTTTCTCAGTTTCTGCACCCTGGACCACCTCACTATCTTGTCCACATCTTATTTCGATGCTTCACCCAGACCCTGTAGCAGTTAGCATTTTAACCAATCACATTCCGGGTTCCTATGTAGGTGTTTGCCTGCATTATTGCCTTCGCCAACTTCTCACACCCTGGGTGTCTGCTCGGTCCCAGGAGGGTGCAGAGAAACACAACAGAAGTGGGTGAAAATCTGTGTCCTCCCCACCTGGGCTGGGAGCTTTCCTGCCGCTCTGAGCTGTGGTCCTGAGCCTCCTCGCTGACGTCAGATGTTGCCTTGTTATGCGAGTCATGGCTTTCAGCCTTTTAACTTAGGAGCCAAATTATTATTCCATTTTTATTTTTAGAGCCGGAGCAGACACAATCAATTTCATTTCAATGCTCTGATCATAAACCTCCATGTTAATATTGCCCCTTTAAATCAAGTGTTTATGGGTCCTAGAAGCAGCACCTGGAAATTTTACCTTAAGGTCCTAAAGTCATTTGGCTACAAATTACTTAATATTCTCTTGCACCTATTTCCGTGGTCTGGATTTGATTATTTCTAATTATCATAAATGCCCCTCTGCATGCCAGACGTGCACTGTTACAGCCACTCCATCAGCCGAATATTTGATGTCAGGCTCAGAATCAAACAGAGAAGAGTTCTGAGTCACGCAAGACTTCCCAGCCCAGGGCTGAGCCACTTAACAGCCTGCCCACCTCTGATCCTGCAGCAGAGAAGGACCACGAGCGGCTCCCCCGTCGCCCAGTCACGTTCAGTCAGATTCCATCACGAGCTGTTGTCTTTCCCTCCGACTTCCAACAAACGACCACAGTGGACAAGAGAGGTTCCTTTGCTCTTAGCTTGAATCCTGGCTCCTTTTGCATATTTTATAATCACATGAATCATGGTCCCAAGTACAATTTTGCACCATCCCTGGCTTTCAGAGAGGTCACCGGAGACGTTGCTTGCTGGAGTTCGATGATTCCAAGAAATCCCGGAAAAGTGACCCAGCTCTGGGCTGCACTCCGGTGCATAAAATCCCCAGACTTAGTGCTTCAGTCCTCGACCCCCATCCCGACCCCTGCTTTCCAGCCCAGCTCATCCTCAGGCCGCATAGTTGGAGCTGTGACTCCTCTCGGCTGTCAAAAGGTGCAGGATGAGAAAGTTGAGTTACGGCGGGAGGCGCGGTGCAGGTCACCCCTGCCTCGGCGCTGACCTTTTCTGCTCCGAGGGCCCCTGCTTTCTGCAAGTGAGGGGACCTGACAGAGACAAGACCCAGGCCGGAGGCTCACGGGCATCTTTCCACTCTGTGCTTTCACAAACTAGAGACGCTTTCCCTCTGCTCCTAATTCCCTTCAAAAATTCTGATGTGCTTCCCAGTTTAATTTGACAAACACTCCTGCCCAGCTTGCTTGCTATAGGGTCAGGCATACAAGGCCATTAGGAATGGCTGGACCTGTCAACTTTTCTCCTCCCAAGCCCTTGTCAAGTCAGATCTGAGCACCGAGGATTTGATGACTAGCAGAATAAGGCTGGATCTCCATCATGCTTTTTGCTCCTTTACCTTAAAAAAATCCAAATAAGTCATTACCTGACTATGAGTAAATGGAAATTGTCTATAATAAGGAAGCAAAGGGAAAGGAAGCAAATTCTTTTAAATATGTTGAGCTTCTAGCAGAGGGGGCGGGGGTAGGATGACAAATTTATAATGTAGACTCAGATGCTTTCTGTCTTCAATTTTTGTCAAGATAAAAAGTTTTAAACAACAAAGCCACTCATAGTATAGAAATAATTGGGACTAGGCATTCAATAAATAAGTCATGAATTAATGAAGTGTAGAATTCTTTATGTCATCTTTAATCATGTATATGATTATTAATATTAATCTCCTTAATAACCTTTACATGGCTTGTTATGGCCCCACAGAGCTAGAAAAAATTACTTGCTAATCTTTTTAGCCATAAATTTAATGGATCATCAACATTTGTATAAAACAAACAAACAACAGGGAAGAGATTTGTGGGATAACACTAAACATTTTGGATTCTTGAAGGCAGGGGAGGAGTCCCACCAGCTGCGAGGAACAGGACCCTGGAAGGGCCGGTGGGTTCCAATGAAGCAACCACAGAGACCCTGTTCCCTAGAAGGACAATACCCCTGTCTCCTGCCATGAAAAACTCAGGATAAAAGGTAAAATTTCCGGAATACAGGAACAGCATACAAGCCTTTCAGGAAATGCAAATATTACCATCACTTTTTTCCTGAGTCATCTTCCTGCAACCAAGACTCCAGCCAAGCTGATGACTCATAATTCTTTTTTGCAGCCAATGTGATTCTTCTAAAAATTAATCTCACAATTGTGAGGCAGTGTAGACAGGCAGCTTTAATATCTGTCACTTGCTATATTATTACAGCATAATACCTACTTCTTCTACTGAAGAGTTAGCCATTTGTATTCCATATATTTATGAAATGTGTATTTATATTTGTTTTTAGTATTAATAATTCAATTCTTGATTTCTTACAATTTATTGTAAGAATACATGAGCAATTTAAGTCAATATCATTATCAAGTAGATATTTAACAAACTTGTCGAAGAGTTTTCTATTTACAAATTCTATTGAGAGTTATCAGTTGTATGTTCACAGACAGCTGAGAAATTTTGCTCTCAAAATAAACAAGCAAGTGCTTGTTATTCATGAAACTGTCTTTTAAAAAATGTTCTTTTGGGAATAGTATTGTGACATGATTTTTGTACATTAAATAATTGTCAAGGATTCAGCATCTCTGGATTTATTTTATGTCTAATTACATTAATTCGGAATCTTGTATCCTTAATCATAAACATCTCAATGCTGCTACAGTTTTTATAAAGAGACTTACTTCTTAAATCTCTACTTTTACCTTTTCTTTCACATTCATTTACTCAATAAGCATAACTCTAAATCATCTTAGGTAAGCAGGAAGCAACCAGAGGATGTTGAGAAGTGTTTCATTCCTTGCTTCCTAAAAAAGAAGAAAGCATGCCCTGATTGTTAACATTTGCTGATTTCTCTGATACACACACTCTCTCCAGAGTCAGGCTCCAGCCACTGAAGTGCCAGCACCTCGTGCACGTAATAAACTCTCAGAAGGTGGTTCGTGCCACACTCACTTTTTTCCTTAAAAAAAAAAAAAAAAGAAAACAAAAGAACAAGAGACTATAATGACCTCCTTATCTCAAGATTTTGCTCATGCTCTTGAGTAAGGAGAGTGCTAGACGTTTTTTCCTTCCATTTCATATAATGTTTCATCCCACAAATCCTGCAGCCAGTCATTCCTACCTGATGACTTCATCAACAAGTGAGATGAGTGCAAGGACACCTGAGCTCTCCACCTTGAATCTGCACGGCCCTCTCCTCCTACTGTGCTTTTAGACACTTGTGCATTTGCTTCCTTCTCTCAAAAGCATTCCAAAATTCCAAAAGCATCTCCAAAATTCACTGCAGATGGTGACTGCAGCCATGAAATTAAAAGACGCTTACTTCTTGGAAGAAAAGCTATGACCAACTTAGACAGCATATTAAAAAGCAGAGACATTACTTTGCCAACAAAGGTCCCCCTAGTCAAGGCTATGGTTTTTCCAGTGGTCACATATGGATGTGAGAGTTGGACTATAAAGAAGGCTGAGCACAGAAGAATTGATAACTTTTGAACCGTGGTGTTGGAGAAGATTCTTGAGAGTCCCTTGGACTGCAAGGAGATCGAACCAGTCCATCCAAAAGGAGATCTTCCCTGAATATTCATTGGAAGGACTGATGCTGAAGCTGAAACTCCGATATTAGGGCCACCTGATGTGAAGAGCTGACTCATTTAAAAAGACCCTGATGTTGGGAAAGATTGAATGTGGGAGGAGAAGGGGATGACAGAGGATAAGATGGTTGGATGGCATCACCAATTCAATGGGCATGAGTTTGAGTGAAGTCTGGGAGTTGGTGATGAACAGGGAGGCCTGGCGTGCTACGGTCCATGGGGTCACAAAGAGTAGGACATGACTGAGCGACTGAACAGAACTGAACTCAAAAGCTTGGCTCAGTAGGTAAAGAATCTGCCTGAATTGCAGGAGACACAGGAGATGCGGGCTCAATCCATGGGTGGGGAAAATCTCCTGGAGGAAACAGTAACCCGCTCCATTATTCTTGCCTGAGAAATCCCATGGACAGAGGAGTCTGGTGGGCTACAGTCCATGGAGTCGTGAAGAGTCAGACACAGCTGAGTGGCTAAGCACGCACAGCGCACTCATTAGCGTGGTGCAGTAAACTCTTCTTGTGAATGCTTAGAAAATCATGTTCTAAAATCTTAAGTCACCGAAAAGTCACTGGGTCCACCTCCTTCCAGAGAGCGAGCTTAGAGACTAGTGGATCTCCCAGGGGTGTTTCTCATACAGGCATTGGGCCTATTGTCTGGGGAAAGAGGGCATGAGCTTATATTTTGTCTTTTGAGGGTTTAAATATTAAAATTGGTTGAGAACCCTGGTGGGTAGCCCTCCAGGATGGAAATTCTATTCCAAGATTCAGAGTGAACAGTGTCCAGATCCATCTTTAGTCCAGGCTCTTGGACTGACTGTGAGCTGGAAATAAATCACTAAGAAATGGAGCCATTGATGCCCAAGCACAGGCCTAATGTGTGCCCTTCCAATTTAGCCAAGTTGGAGAAAGATTGATCTTCCTTCAACAATAACCACAATAACTCCTTGCATCCCAGGAGTCTCAGGATAGTCACACATAAAGTTGCTTAGAGCCCACTCTTATGGGAGATATCAGAAATTTGAAGAGTCACACTGACAAATGAGTTAATGGTACCCAACGTTCTCTCCTTGGGTTTTTGCTAAAACCCCCAGAGCTCTTCAAAATTCAGGGAATATGGTAAGTCATAGGGGAGATAACGAACTGCTTACTAAGGTGTAGAGGGGGCTGTAGTGATTAATTAGAAACCTACAGTATGTTATAAAACACTTTACAGTAATCACATATGACAATTTTGTACTGCTAAATGGGCAAATGCTATTAATGGCAACTTAGTTAATAGGAACTGTCTACATGAATTGTGATTTTTCTTAGAAGTATGCTTCATAGGATGATTTTTTTTTTCTTTCCACAATTAATGTTATAAAAGCAATGGATCCCCAGCTCCCGGGGCGGGGGGCGGCGGGGGGGGGTTGATGCTGTAGATGAGTGAGCGTCTCCGTATGTCTTCTTGTCTCTCTGAGTGTAGTCAGATGCTCAGATATAAGACCTTCTCCTCCTCATGGGGATTGTTTATAGCAGATGTGTGTACAATCTCATAAGAACAGACCCCAAAGAGAATATAAAATAGGGCAGTAGGGAAGATTAATAAATTGACTAGAACTGATTCAGCAAGCACACACAGATACTGAGAATATGAACCGGAAATAGAGCAATTGATAGGTGCTCTCATTGATCTTTTTAAAGCATGGAATTTTAAAGCAGACTTTGGGGCAAAATGTTCTCTGAGGCAGAATGCTTTTGCTTCATAACAGCTATGTTTTTCATTTAATTCATTGTCTCTTTACTTTCTCTTCCAGTTTTAAACAAGATTAGAGGTCAGTAGTTATCCGAGAAAATGGCCACACCCATTTTCTTCCACCTACTGTCCTGGCTTTCTGCGGCTAACAGGATCAAGTTTGTGTTTGCTGTCATTGCCCCGGGGAGGCTAATTTCCATTGGGGTAGATTCTCTCCGTCACTGTGAGGGATGTCAGACCCAGCCAAAGTGTGACAAAGAACAAGCATGGAAGAATAGGCTCTTCGCATAGGCAGTAACAGGACAATTGTGACAGTGTGGCAAGAAGTCCAGACCATCACCTTCGCTTTCTGCCTGTATAGGCATCTACATGGCGCACCTGTTGAGTGACTCTGATCAAGGACTTAAGTTCCTCCACCCTGAATAAATCCCATGGGTGATGACATCTTCTCCCCTCCCCCCCACGCCCTCCTCCTTTTCTGCTTCTTATTCTAAATCACATTCTTGGGAAAATTACAGTATAAACTCAACATGCCAAAAAATATGTACAATCACAGGAAAATTATTACAGAGATGAATTTTGCCCTCTCTGGTCCTTTGTCTTTTTCTTGCAAAGCATGACCCAGAAGATATCAATATCCGTTCCCATTTGTGTCAAGTAGAATGTCTAACTTTAAATTTATTCAACTTCTCCCGCTGCTAACCACCCTGAGGGACCAAATACTCTCTTGCCTTGAGTGTTAGGTTACTTCATTTACCTACCATAAGTTTCAAAGTATATCTTATTATAGATGAGTTTTATGTAACAGTATTATATGTGAAAATAGGTCCTGAGTTTGCATTTCTTATGTTGCTTTGGTACCAGCAGGAAGTTTTGAAGGAGGAAGGCTTCATCAGGAGGTACTTTGAGCTCACAAACCCACACCATAGCACACAAGACTGAAAAAAAAGAAAAAAAATCTCTGCTGAAGAGAATAAGGACGGAGGATCCCATTACCATCTCTGGTTGCATCAAGCCACGTGTTCATGTGATGCTGGAGGCAGCCTAAGGTCACACCCCATCACAGAGGCCACACAATTTGTATTACACAACATCATGAAAACTGTAATAGCATGTTTCCACTCCAGTAATGATGGTCATGGCTGAAATGCACTCAACACCAGCCCCGGCTCCTGAAGAGGTCAGGATTTTGTTTCACATGATTCCTACCCTCAGCGTTTGATTTCCATGACCCTCCTTACCATTCTCTGTTCTCCAGCATGAGCACTGAATAACCAGGTAGAAGAATTCATGCTTTTGTTTATCTTTTTGCTTCTCTCCTTGTGGTTTGATAATTTTATTTAGCAATAGGCTTGTGTTCTTTTCTTCTTAGATTTTTGTATCTTGTGTAGGTTTTTGCTTTGTGGTTACCTTGAGATTCACATATATTGACCCACAGCTGTATGTCCTTGGTTTAAGTTGGTAGTCAATTAAGTTGTGACATATCCTAAAAGATCTACGTTTTTATATCTCTCCCCAAATTTTGTGTTTTTGATGCTATATTTTATATTTCCATGTTTATCCCTTAAATATTTATTATAGTTAAAGTTGCTTTTACAATTTTTTGTCTTTAATCATCATACCGCTTATTTAAGTGGTTGATGCTTAGTCCTTAATACATATTTATTTTCTAGTCAGATTTTCCTTTCCTGCAAATTCTTACTTCCTTTACACTTAGAGAAGACTCACAGATAAGGATGTCCACTACCACCACTTCTATTGAATGCAGTATCAGAATTCCTAGCACAACAATCAGACAAAAAAAAAAAAAGAAAAAGTCATCCAAAATGGAAGGAAAGATATACAACTGTCATTAACATGATACTCTGTATAGAGAAACTTAAAGTCTCTACATGAAATCTATTCAAATAAATGAATTGTGTAAATCTGAAGGATACGAGATACTATACTGAAATCTGTTACTTTTCTATACACTGATAATGAACTATTAGGAAGAGAAAGTCAAAGAAAAAGAAAGAAATCCTTCTAAAATTGCATCAAAAAGAGTAAAGAACCTAGGAATACACTTTTTAAAAAGAGGTGAAAGACCTATACTGTGAAAACTATAAAAACATTGGTGATGGAATTGAAGATGATACCAAAAATGGAAAGATAATCCATGTTCTTGGATTGAAAGAATATTACTACAATTGCTATACTACTCAAAGCAATCTATAGATTCAATGCAAACCTTATCAAAATACCCATGGCTTTTTTTTCCACAGAGATATTACAAATAATCCTAAAATATCTATGGAACCACAAAAGACTCTGCATTGGCAAAGCAATCTCGAGAAAAAAGAACATAGTGTGAGAAAGTGAAGAAAGAGCATTGCACTATAGCTAAGAGTGGGATAAGTATCAGATTCCCATCCTAGGTCAGAAATTCCAAAAGACTAACATCAAGGGTGTCATCTGGGCAAGATGGCACCCATGGGAATGGGCAAGGCTCCTTGGGGGAGTGACACGTTACAAGGTGAATGTGATTAAAGGTCAGTATCATCAAAGAAGATATTGATTTGGGGTAATGGGTTAGAGAAGGGGGGAAAGGGAAAAATTACAAGCAAACTTTTACCTCTTAGAAATGAAGAAATTAAGAAATGATAGATAGATGTTATCGGCTGCATAGATTAGCAAAACATTCAGACACAGATGCTCTATAGGTCTCACTACAAGGCCTGCTGCTGCTGCTGCTGCTGCTGCTGTCGCTTCAGTTGTGTCTCACTCTGTATGACCCCACAGACGGCAGCCCACCAGGCTCCTCCGTCCCTGGGATTCTCCAGGCAAGAACACTGGAGTGGGTTGCCATTTCCTTCTCCACACTACACGGGCAATGTTCACCAATTTCCATCTTTTCTCTCCCATCAAGGACTGAAGCAAACTACCAACCTCTACTGAAATGTGCTTGAGTTCAAACAAAGGACTGGGTTAAGAAAAGAGATATATTTTATAACTGCCACATAACAAGGAGTTCTTTTAAAATAAGCATTTATTCCCTACCATGTACTGTTCATTTTTATTTTAATAATACATGTCTAAAATTGCATAGCAATCCACACATTGTGCTCACAAGTGTTGTGTCTCCTAACCTTCCCAACAGTCCTACATAACAGAAGGGAACGTGGCAGGGGGTGACCCTGAATATGAAATGGTTCTACAGCAAGTAAATACTATGACCACAAGAATTCTAAGACCAGTACTCCTTGAACTGAAGCTTGTGCAGTCCATGCCATCATGGATTCACAGGCACCACACAAAGGAAAAAAATTTAAAAAGTACTAGCTCTATGGTTGTTCAGCTGCTCAGTCATGTCTGACTTTTTGCGACCCCCATGGGTTGCAGCATGTCTAGGTTCATGTCTGTGGAGTCAGTGATGCTACCCAACCATCTCATCCCCTAACATCCTCTTCTCCTTTGTTTCCAATCTAGCCTTATATTGCATGTAAAATTTACACATTTTACTAGGTACACTGCATTTCAGATGTAAAGCCTGGGTTGTGAATACCTTCCAAATGATAAAGAAGATATCTAAGATATAAAAATTCTTTATGAAAATAGTTGAGCCTCTAAGATCAAAGGCAGTTTGCTGAGAAACATTTTTTGTATGATCCATTGGTAAACACATATTTTTTGTGCTCTTGCCTCTTTAAAGCTGACATTTTAAAGACAAAAGTATTTTGTTACATCCATTATGTGTTAAGAATTTTCAACAATTTAAATATTTTGGAGATCCTGTCTTAAGTATATTCTCTCTGAAAGTTGGCCTATGAGAAAATAAAGGGGAAAAAGATAAATGTTAATACAGGAGAGAAGACATAATTAAGACTGAAACACAGCAAATTCACAAGGGAAAGTCTATAGTACACATGACATTTACACTAATACCAAGTAACTTACATTTGAGGGCTTCCCTCGTAGCTCAGTCAGTAAAGAATCTGCCAGCAATGCAGGAGTCCATCTGCAATGCAGGAGACTGGGGTTCAATTCCTGGGCCTGGAAGATTCCCTGGAGAAGGAAATGGCAACCCACTCCAGTATTCTTGCCTGGAAAATCCCATAGACAGAGGAGCCTCGTGGGCTGCAGTCCATGGGGTCATAAGAGTCAGACATGACTTAATGACTAAACCACCAACTTATGTTTTAATCCATGTTATTACAATATGGGCAAAAATTAATAAATCTTGACATATTATTTCAAAGTGTGAACAGAACAATGGATTTTAGTGGATGCCAGTTTTGTGGTACTTATGGTAATTATGCATGTCCTCAACCACTTATAAAACATTAGATAATTTTATCCAGCTTGTCACTAATGTTTTCTTCTTACACCATGCACCTGGAGTGTTCCCATCTGTTCCCACCATTCTGTTCTCTCAGCCCATTCTGTGGGTACCATTGGTTAAGATATGTAGACATGTAAACTTTGTAGAATTTCATGTGGAACCATTCGAAGGTCTCAACCATTGTACAGATCCTTGGCAATGAGAGAGTTTATTTTACTTCCTTTGTAAAGCTCTCAACTTAATAAGCAGCAGTTTTCTATATTGTTTTATATCTTCTTTGTCTTTTGTTCAGAACTAAAGCTAAAGTTGGGTTCCTTTGTTAAATATAAGATAAAAGGTTCAAGCTGTGTATTATATTGGTGTTTACTCTTATTAATATTGAGCATGCTTAGTATTCAATTTCTAAATAATCAAGTAGAATAACTCAATGACAACGTGTTTACATAAAATGTTTTTTTTTTCCCTAATTGCTCCTTTTATCATTAAACATCCATCTATTGGGTGTCTGCTGTGTTCTAAGTACTAGCACTATAGCAGTCAATTAAAATCAGGGTTGGTTTTAACTTCCACATATAACATAGAAAGGAATACAGAACTTTGTTTCCAACCTAAGGAGGAGAAGACAGTTGTTCTACAGAAGCCCCAAATTTCACTTAGGCCATAGGAGAGTTGATCTGATGAGTCAATCAAGGCATGGGAATCCCACGGAGAAACAAACCCCTCAAAGGAGAGGCAAACAAATTGGCTAATTTCCTTTGCTGGAGCACACAAGGAAGGGGTGGTCTCACTTTTAAGTGAAGGTCAGGAACTTAGATACAGTTGTGAAGCATCTGCCTAGACCCAGTGCTGCCGGCTATGCTAGTTTGGAGTAGTTGCCCCCTACCCCCAGGAATAAGCAATGCTTGCATTCACTTGCAATCATTTTTCATAGGCATTTATCATGAGCCCATATGAGAAATCCAGTCAGGCAGAGGAGCCAAGATGATGGACAGGTATGCAGGAGGCCCCTGGGGGCTCCTGGAGGTCAGTGTAAAGACTGCCTAGAGGAACAGAGCAGGTCACCTCCACATTTATGAAACAGCTCCTCAGTACATTCATTGGAGAAGGCAATGGCACCCCACTCCAGTGCTCTTGCCTGGAAAATCCCATGGGCAGAGGAGCCTGGTGGGCTGCAGTCCATGGTGTCGCTAAGAGTCGGACACGACTGAGCGACTTCACTTTCACTTTTCACTTTCATGTATTGGAGAAGGAAATGGCAACCCACTCCAGTGTTCTTGCCTAGAGAATCCCAGGGGGAGCCCGGTGGGCTGCCATCTATGGGGTCGCACAGAGTCGGACATGACTGAAGCGACTTAGCAGCAGCAGCACATTCATGGTCTGGACATTATTTTCTTACCAAGTTGTATGGTGAGTAGAAATCCAAGCAACGACTTAGATCACATTCTTCACCCCAAATTCTCCAAGATCCCAGAGAACTTACATAGTCCAGGAGAAACGGTGTTTCTTTGTATGGACTCTCAAGCAGTGAGGGCACCAGGTTCTGATCTGCGCCCGTCATGTGGGCTCGAAGTGGCCCGCCTGCCTGCCCAACAGTTTGGGCTGTGCCATTTCAGTGTCAAGCAGCTTGACTTCCCAAGGGCATTGGCCTTCCAGGTACCTTGATGGGAACATAATCCTTTTATCAGTCCTCTGTTTGGGGCCCTGGTTTATCGCCGGTCCCTTACCACCCTGATGAGGGAAGGCTCCCCACCCTAGAAATGGAGGAATGGATGAACACACCACACTCAGTACTGGCCGGGTGAGGATGACGGTGGTTTGTTGGTGATGTGTCCTCACGGTCCAGGGAAGGACGCCAGTCTCACAGCCCACAGGAAGGTTGCACTTGGGACAGAACAAAGCAGTAAGAGCTGCAGGAAGCAGGTGTACTAGTAGCGAAGGGGTAGGGTGCCCTCGTGGGTGACTTGTTGGATAATCCCACGAGTGGCGGGTACAGATGCCACTGCTCACGGACAAACAGGAGGCACTCCTGGTCCTTTTGGTAGGCAGCGTGGTCTGGCTGGAAGCGTACCCACTCGAGTAGGTGAGGAAGGACTTGCTGTCAAGAACAGTCAAGTCAGGGGTACCAGAGATCAAGACAGCACAGAATGTGGGCCTTCTCTTTTATGTCTTACATCACAGGTGCCCGAGGTTTCAGGAGTAACAAACCATCTTGCCAAGTTGAGCCGGGAGTAATTCTCATTTTCATCATCTTGCTGACCTAGAATCTGTGTTTCCTTCCCTCCAATCTACATATTTCTTGTGCCTTGGGAAGCACTTCTTTTAAAACATGAAATATCTCAAATTCCTCTTTTTCAAATCACAGGACCCTAACCCACTGTTGTCAATTACTTTGCGGGACTCCATTCATCTGTCTTGAGGCCACCACCGTATCAACCCATGTGATTTGAATTTTCCTCAATTGATTTCAAAAGGTCCACAACTACCCTTCTGACATGACCAAATTCAAGAGTGAAAATTTTCTTTCTTTTTTTTTTTTGCATTCTCTCACTAGAGAAGGATTAAACAACTAAGTCGATCATTCTATCCATCTGAGTCTCATTTACTGGTGAAGAAATAAGGCATAAAATAGGGGAATGGATAAACATACCGCACTCAATACTGGATGGGTAAGGATGATGGTGGTTTATTGGTGACATGTACTCGTGGTCCAGGGAAGGACGCCAGACTCACGGCTCACAGGAAGGTTGCACTTAAGACAGAACAAAGCAAGATTATCCTGCTGTTAAAAGTTAGAGCCTTTGTAAATTCTGATACCTTTCTACTTCTGTACGTATCAGTCAATAATCACAACTTACAAATGCACACCTTACACACTGTCATGGCCTCTTCATGTATCAGCTATCCATTACTCTGTAATGCATTAAAAAGAAATTAGTTAAAAATGGCTACTTTATTTGTGCATGGGTCTTTAGGTTAGGAATTTGGGATGGGGTTGGCTGGAGTTTGTTGGCTGATGTTGCCTGGGGTCACACATCTGGTGGCTCCTCTGAGACTAGACGGCTCAGGATGGCTCACTCACCTGTCAGGGTTGATGGACCAAGTGACTCCTGGAGAACAGCCTGGACTTCCTTTTGTGGCAGCCTGGTTTCAAGAGCCAGAAGCTTCAAGGACTCCCGATGCCTATGCTTGGTGGTTACGTAACGTCCCTTCCACGTCCAAAGTCTAGACTTGGTTCAAGGGCTGAGACTATAGACTCTGCTTCATTATGTTGTGTTGCTCCGTGCTCAGGTGCTCAATGTCATGTCTGACCCTCTGTAGCTCCATAGACTGTAGCCTGCCAGGCCTCCCGGTCCATCACCCACTCCTGGAGCTTGCTCAAACTCATGTCCATGGAGTCAGTCATGCCAGCCAACCATCTCATCCTCTGTCGTCCCCTTTTCCTCCTGCCTTCAATCTTTCCCAGTATCAGGGTCTTTTCCAATGAGTCAGTTCTTTGCATCAAGTGGCCAAGGTATTGGAGCTTCAGCTTCAGCATCAGACCTTCCAATGAATATTCAGGGTTGATTTCCTTTAGGATAGACTGGTTTGATCTCCTTGCAATCCAAGACACTCTCAAGAGTCTTCTTAAAGATCACAGTTCAAAAGCATCAAGTCTTTAGCACTCAACTTTCTTTATAGTCCAACTCTCACATCCATACATGACCGCTGGAAAACTGTACCTTGACTATACAGACCTTTGTCAGTAAAGTATAATATCTCTTATTTCTAATATGCTGTCTAGGTTGGCCATAGCTTTTCACCCAATGAGTGAATGTCTTTTAATTTCATGGCTGCAGTCACCATCTGCAGTGATTCAGAGCCCAAGAACATAAAGTCTGTCGCTGTTTCCATCGTTTCTCCATCTATTTGCCTTGAAGTAATGGGACTGGATGCATGATCTTTGTTTTTTGAATGTTGAATTTTAAGCCAGCTTTCTCACTCTCCTCTTTCACTTTCATCAAGACACTCTTTAGTTCCTCTTTGCTTTCTTCCATAAGAATGGTGTTATCTACATATCTGAGGTTATTGCTGTTCTCCCTGCAATCTTGATTCCAGGTTGTCCTTCATTCAATCTGGCATTTCGCATGATGCACTCTGCATAGAAGTTAAATAAGCAAGTTCAATAAGACAATATACAGTCTTGACATCCTTTCTCAATTTGGAACCAGTCCATTGTTCCATGTATATTTCTAACTGTTTCTTCTTGACCTGCATACAGATTTCTCAGGAGGCAGGTAGGGTGGTCTGGTATTCCTATCTCTTTAAGAATTTTCCACAGTTTGTTGTGATCCACAAAGACTTTGGCGTAGTCAACCAAGCAAAAGTGGATGTTCTTCTGGAATTATCTGGCTTTTTCTATGCTCCTATGGATGTTAGCAGTTTGATTTCTGGTTCCTCTGCCTTTCAAAATCCAACTTGAACATCTGAAAATTCTTGGTCCATGTACTGTTGAAGCCTAGCTTGGAGAATTTTGAGCATTACTTTGCTAGTGTGTGAGAAGAGTGCAATTGTGCAGTAGTTTGAACATTCTTTGGCATTGTCTTTCTTTGGAATTGGATTGAAAACTTACCTTTTCCAGTCCTGTGGCCACTGCTGAGTTTTCCAAATTTGCTGGCATATTGAGTACAGCACTTTAACAGCATCATCTTTTAGGATTGAAATAGCTCAGCTGGAATTCCATCACATTCAGCTTACTACATTTAATTTCTATGAAAAACTCTTTTACAAGTAATAGGTAAGTAATCATTCTCTCCAAAAGATACAGTAGATGTTCTGATGTTATTTCCTTAGATATTCACAAACCAGGAGCTCATTTCAAACTCAACAGATTTTTAAAAATTAAATGTTGATCTCTTCAAATATTTAACATAACATCTTAATAAATAAAAGATTATAGTCTTTATTCCACAAAGGGACCTATCACAGTTTTCTAGCTAGTTCTGCTTTTATTTTTATATTGCCCATCTGGCAAGTGTCTGTCTGAGTACTTTAGAAGCCAGAACAAAGTTAAATTTAAATTGACAGAAGCCCAAGAACACCGTCAAGTCACAGATACAGGATCCCTTTTCAGCGAGAGGGGGCAGGGCAGCATAGCTTTTAAAACTGTCTTTTGAGCCTGAAAAATCTCAGCTCTCAGGCCATCCTGAAATGCACTCATTGTGTGATCTTGAAAACATCTGATGACCTTCTCAGTTTCCTCATTGGGATGGGCATAAAAATGAAAATATGTCTGCTCGTTAGAGGATTTAGGGAAGAGATTTCTGAACTTTGAAATTACTGGCGTTTTTGTGTTCAGGTGTTGGAAGGTTCTGATGGACTTGTGCTGCAGACCTTGGGGGACCCAGAGAACCCTTCTCTCCTCGACTTGTTTTCACAAGTGGGCATCTAAGTCCCTTGCAATTCTCCTGGATTTTACTTTAATCCCAGGAACTCACTTTGCATCTGGAAGAAATGTTTGCTTCAGAGCAGCAGGAGGATCACTGAATCAGGAGGCATGCCTGCTCCTGGCCACCTCACCAGGATGGTGCTGGAATGAGGACCCCAGAACACACTGGCCAGAGCCACGGGAGACAACTGCCTGGTCCAGCAACGGCGGTGGTGCTGAAGCTCCCACTCCACGGCCGCTCTCCTGGAATCCTGAATCACTTCTTCCCAGCGCTCTTTGTGATGAAAGGTCACATAACCATTTTTATAAATCACTCTCCACTTTAAAGAAATAGTAGAAATCACAAAGCATTTTCCCACATCCCATACACAGAACATTCAGGCATCTGGTCTCCCTAGGCTCTCCTGGGCTGTGGCAGTTTCTCAGAGTCTCCACGACCTTGACAGTCTTGAGGAGCAGTGGTCACATGTTTTATAGAGCGCCTCTCAGTGGGGATTTGTCTGATGGTTTTCTCATGATTAGTCTGGGGTTATGGGCTTTAAACCAGGGAGGCAAAGTGCCACCTCATCACGCCATATCAGGGGTCTGTGCTCTCCCTGTGACTTTTCACGGCTGGCGCTGACCTTGATCGCCTGGCTGAGGTCTTGTCGGTCGAGTTGCTGTCAAGTTCTCATCCTGCAGTCTTTGCAGCTGAGTCACAAAGGGCATCATCACTTAGGGAGCCGGGCTGATGCTCTAGCTTCTGAGAGCAGGGTGCGTGCACAGATTAGAGGGAGTCCTCTTGTGTGTGTGTGTGCACACTCAGTCGGGTCCGACTCTTGTGACCCCATGGGCTGTAGCCCGCCAGGCTCCTCTGTCCATGGGATTCTCCAGGCAGGAATACTGGAGGGGTTGCCACGCCCTCCTCCAGGGGACCTTCCCAACCCAGGGATCGAACTGGTGTCTCTAATATCTCCTGCATTGGCAAGCAGGTTCTTTGCCACTAGTGCCACCTGGGAAGCCCCAGGAATCCTCCTACTTTGGGAGAATTTGTGCTTTCTCCTTTCCATCCCCTTTTCAGGATAAAATAGACACTGTTCTGTCAAAGGAATCCACTGGGGGCATGGCCCTGCTCACCTCCCTGACTTCACTCC